GTCGCCTCAAAAGGCACATGAGTGTCATAAATCCAGAAAGAAGCAAATTTGTGCAGGTTCTGTGAAGAAGAAGAAGAGAAAATATCATTCCACGTCCTGTGCCAATGTGAAGGCCTAGCTGGAATGATTTTCTAACATTGGGCGAAGAAAAGCCAATTGCACGCAACTACATGCGGGAGCCACGGTCAAAGCTACTAAGTCTAATAAAAAAGACCAGGCTAGATGACATACTCTAAAACAAACGGAGTCACACAATAGATCTGAAAAGGTCGCGGTGGACAAGGATATATATCGTCCAACTCCTAATATAATCTAATCTAAATCTAATCTAATGACACTCAGTTTTTTTGTGCTATTTTCAAATATTAAAAATTCAGACATACAGGGTGTTGTTTTCAAGGTTAGTGGCAATTTTCCCTTATTTTTACGTTACAAGAACAAAAATGTTTGTTTTATATTTTAATTTTTTAAAATGTTTTGATCATTTTTATTTTAAAAGGTAAGAATTTTTTATGAAGCTAAAATGAACGGTGTGGCAGAAATTTTATTCTAAACAAAAGTCTGTATCTAATCAGATAATATATGTCGGCGGCGCTGATGTTTAACTATTATTTTGTTTATAGTTTTAAGAAGTTTGATTTATTGGTAGTCGGTATTTCAATAAGATAAGCTGTAAGCTTCTACTTGGTTTTTATAAGTGATGACTTAGCAAAAATGATACGCACTTGCCAATAGTGAGGGGCAAGGTGAGCGGAACGGAGCCAGCAGGATGTTAATAGAAAATAAGGAATGAGAACAGGGTAGCTATTCTTGAATTCGAGGGAATGGAAAACCGGTTTTGTCTCTTTATCTGCAACGCGCAAAATTTGTATTTTTGTCTCATTCTTCCCTCAAAATTTCTACTCCCTGAGATTCAAGAATAGATACCCAGATTAGAGAAGTGTGATCGATCGGCCGATGGTCGCTGGCTCCGGATCGCTAGTATCATTTTTTTAATTGATTAATAATTGATATCGTATTATTAGCCGTATTTCTTTAATAATTATTTGTGTAACGTCGTTTATAGTGTTGTCAACATTGTTTATTGTTTTATATTGCATTAACAAGTTTTACAAGTGTTAAATGTAGTGTTTTGTCATGACATTGGGTCCTATGATTGAACGTTTACGTTATCCGTAACGTACATGTTAGGCTCAGTTTTAACAGTAATTAGGCAAGTTCGTATGATGAAAAACGGTTTCCAATACATTACTGTTATTTTCCGCCTGTTATGTTCTAATTTAACAGTTTTTCATCATACAAACTTGCTTCGTTACTGTTAAAATTCGACCTAACATGTACGTTATGGATAACATAAACGTTCAATCATAGGACCCAATGTCTGATCGTGATGCCCTAAATATCCGAAATCCGACATATATAACAACTTTTTATTTCTAAATTATAATCTAGTAAGTATTTATTACGTGTCAAGTATAAATGTTTAATAGTTCATGTATTTCATAAAATGTTGGTACCCAGACCAAATTTGGAAACAACATTTAAAGATATTTTTGATATATTTTTGAAATTTGGATTTTGAATTTTTATTTAAAACCTTTTACACACTGTAACTCCGTAACTTAGCACTGTGGTAGAGCGTTGTTGGTCGAATATACTAACACCCTGTATATCATTCATTACAGCTGTTATTATTGGTGGATATAAAAATGTCATATCGATAAAAGAAGCTCATTGAGGACATTAAATGGTAAATTAAATAGTAATAAATCTCTGTTGTTAAAACAAATAAACAACTAAAAAGTATATTACGAAAAAAAATTTTATTTTATTTTTGTCGCTAAACAGCAATTGATTATTTAATGACAGTTAAATGGACCGTTTTTTGAGGATATATTTATACTTCTTATTGACGAAGCACACCACTGAACCATGAAGAAAAACATTTAAATCAACGAACAAAAGTTAGTATGATTCTTAATAAGTGCCAAATAAGAGAAACCGTACAATTTAAATATTTCCTAAAATATTGGTTGATTTCTCTATTAGGTTGGTTTTTATACATAAAAAAAAACAATAGTTGACCGAGTTGCAAATACGCAAATATCTCCTAAATGAATTGAAAGAGTAAGGAAAATAATGATAATGATTAAACCACTTGATTTTGTATTACCAAACGCGCGTTTTGTTTGGTATTTATTTTATTCGTGACGTCATATGTATGAACGTGATGATGTCATTGATAATTTTTAAATAGAAGTGTGGTTCATGCGATACATTATTTGAATATATTATTTTAAATATCTATCCAACCATGACTTGAAGTTTAAAAGATCTCGAAATATGTTAAATATCGTTAATTTCACATAGGGTATGTACGCCTTAGTCCAGCCGCTCCCTGTAGTCAGCGACAATCTCACTAAAATAATAATACTTGTTATCATATAAGTTTCATTTATTTAGATACGTAGTCAGCCTCTTTTCCCGCCAATAACGGTCAAACATTCTAACCTAAAAATATTCATTGTGTGATTCCCTGTTCAGTGTCGTGTTGAGGTGGTTGTGTTTTGGTAAGTAAAATATCCACTTCTGCTTATTTGCATGCTAGGTGAAAATAAGAAAAATAACTTTTTAAGTGTATTGTTTTTCAATAGCTCATATTTTAATTTAGATAAATGATCAATAAGGAGTTGATCAAAATACTTTTTGAGGTTAAAAATATCCCTCTATGCATTTATTTCAAGGAGGCTGAGTATGGATTACTCAAAAATGCACAAATCCTATAGTCAGCCAGAGAGGCTGACTATAGGACTGGAGGCAAAATATTCGATTATATACTCTAAATATATTTAACATAGTGTGTACGTTCTTATTTGCCTCCGAATATCACTCACATCATGCAACCTGCAGATGTAAGCGTATTCAAACCTCTCAAAAGTAACTGGAAGAAGACGGTTAGAGCTTGGCAGCTTTAACCAGAAAATGTCAACTGAGTTTCGACCAAAAGCACTTTTTGTCCTTTATTGCAGATAGTACTATCTGAAAGCTCTTTATCCAAAGCAAATAAAAATGGCCTTAGAAAATGTGGGTTATTTCCTTTCAACCCAGATACAGTGGACTACAGAAAGTGTATTAAAAACTCAATTAAAAAAATACACCAAGCCACCAATGATACTATTGAAAAAATGTCTCAGAAAAAAATTGAAATAGCCAAAGATCTCTTAAAATACTTCAAACATTTGCTAAATGAAAGTGAGCTCATGACTGTAGATAAAATTTTAGACAAACTTGAATTATACGTAGAAACAGACATAACCTTAGAAGAGAACACATTCCCAGTAAACGCTATAGTGGATGCATTAATAATGCCGGATGGGACTCTCCAAAGATGTGAGTTTAAAGAAATTGAGACTCAACAAACTATAACATATGTATTAACATTTACTTTTGATGAGTTCAACACCGACAACAATAATGGACCAAAATTACCAGAGCAAACGACTCCTTATTTAGAAACCAGCGATCAAGAAGGAAGCATTTTAGGATACACCATAATTATTACTACTGCAATTGTTCATGGAAATAAAGATTCAGTGACTGAAACTAATGAAAACGGTAAAAGTGATAACATAAATACATTAAATTCCGCCGAAAATCAAGAAAATGTTCCAACTCTTAAGGTCGTCCCATTTAAAAACATACAAAAAGATTGGGATAAAATTGAAGTTATGGAATGTAAAGAAGAACCAAATAAATTAGTTGTTGGCCTAGAAAATAATGAGATTAAGAAAAATTCAGATTTTGGAAAAGCGAAAAAACAGAAAAAAACAGTTCTGCAGGGAGACTGTATCTGGGATCGACATAGAAAACCGTGTACCTGAATATGTGATAGACAAAGATAAGTTAGTGATTAACATAGAAGACAGGAAATATAAAAATAAGCAAAAATGTGCAATTTGTACTTCAGATTTGTGCAGTGACACGGAGGAAAATGATCTAAAAAATGTGGGCTGTGATAGATGCCCTAATTGGTTCCATTTGAAATGCTCTCCCTTTAAGGGATCTCTGTATTGTGATATTGATTCGGAACATACTGAATTCATATGTGATTTTTCTAAATAATAAGTTTATTTTTATTATACTTAATGTGATTTTTACGTTTATTTGAACAATTTTAAGTTTTTCGATTTAATTTTTTTTATTTTATAATTGATTATTTATTTTGCCCCAGTTAAGTCTTTAAATTTTCCATAGTTAGGTAGGAATGTGATTTTTGTAAATGCTAAGTTAATTTTTATATGTAGGTACCTTTCTAAAGTGAATTTTACGTTTATTTGAACAAATTATTTTTAAGTTTTGTGATTTTGTTTTTTATTTTATAAATATGTTTTTGGAGTATTTTTATCCAGTTAATATTTTTTTTTAATTTACATAGTAATATTTACGGCCTGAAAAAACGCCTTGCTTTTGAAAACATGTGTTTCATCGTTTGTCCCATTTGGATAAATAGGCTGAGTATAGGGACAATAGAGGCTGACATTAAATTCTTAACGGCTGACTATAGGTACTTTGGTATATTTTTAATAAATACTTTTATAACAATATCTAGGAGTGTTTATTTGGAAAACCACTTTCATTATTCGAAATATCAATCAATTTTCTTTGACCAAAACAATAGTACAATCTGTTTTCAAAAGAAATACTATTTTTTTAGGACTATGACAAAAAATCATTAAGTGGCTGACTACTAGCGAATGTACCCTATTAAAAAAATTGAAAATCAGTCCTTAGGTTTTCAAATTAACGATTTAGATAATAAAATATCTGTACCATACTTTCTTACAAACGAAATTGGATTGTACTTCCATCGTTTGGACACAATAGATACATTTAGATTCGTTAGAGAAAATAAAAAATAAATTATCTTTATAAAATTATCAACAACCACTTAAATGATTATTGTTAGTACCACTAAATTTTGAGTTTAAGAATATACTTACTTTGAACCAATGGTTGATAGTTAAAGTCGTAATTGCTGGGGCTGCTGACATTCCTTAGTGGAAGAGGGCTATAAATTGGTTGTTGATCAGTAATAAAACTTGGAGGACCCCAAGATTGGAACCAGTTACCGCTGTTAGCAGCTACCATTTTCTATTCTGTCGAAAAAGCATCTGTAATACAAATTAAAATAATATTTAATTTATTACTTTCCTGTTTTCTATAAAAAGGATTACTAATAGTCCTAGACGTAAGGCTTCCGATCACATTAGAGACCAAATAAGGCGGCTCCAAAACGAATATTCTGGGGGGGGGCATTAACTTTAGATATTTTCTTTTTAGCACATTTTTTTGAATAGAAGGCTCATAGATTGTAAGAATTTTCATCTCGGAAGAGGGCCATGGCTTCTATAGCCCCTCTGGCGCCGCCCTTGTTAGAGACACATTTGTGCAAGTAATTTGGTGGCGCGCTCGTGCGCAAGCTGGCCTGAACAGCAATGTGCTCACACTAAATACAAGCAGTTGCAAGTTATTATTAGAGACAATCCAGCGAGACGTGTAACTCAATGTATTTTTTTGTTCGGTAAAAGTTATTTGGGCGATTGTAACCACAACCAGTCTATGATGGCGCCAGTAGTAAATACCGGGAAAATTAAAAATGCTTTAGGGCGGGAAATTCAAACATGGATTCAGAAATAAAGTTTTTCTATACAAATTTACAGGAGAAACAAAAACTATTGTTTCACTGTATATTAAAAAAATATGAAAGCTTCCAATAACATCAAATTTTTTATCACATAAATAATCATTTTAATAAAGGCAGTTTTAATTAGTTTAATATAAACAGTGAACATAGTTTTTATTACTCTTGTAAATTTCGCTAAAAAAAAAACTTGAAAATTCTATTGATTATTAAATATTTAAACTTGGAAAAATAATACACCAAACTCTTTTTCTATAAATTATATTTTTGTAAGGTACAGAAAAACAAACTACAATTGCTTCGTTTAGAAAATACCTCGTATCATTTTGTGACAAATTACAAAGAAAGTAACAGTTGTTATATATTCATAATATATTTAAAAACTAATGTAACAAATATTTTATAAAGTATAGTATCGATACCTTTTTGCCAGACTAACATAAGTGACATTTGTTCAAATGGCACTTATGATAGTCTGGCAAAAAGGTATGGATATGTTATGACTGTTCATTTTAATAGAAACCATGGAAACGAAACACACATACACTCAACACAAATGTATAAGGCCCGAGTCAAGTAAGTTCCCATCCTGTAAACTGGATCGAAACCTGCTAACTCCTCTTATAGTAATCAAGATCAATAGATTTATATGCCATGCCTTCATTTAAACAGGACGTTGCTGAAGGCTTACCCCTGTTATTTCGTTTGTTTGTGTATCTTGTGTGTGTGCATTCCTGTTGTGTCCCCAGTCATGTAAAAGTTTTTCTAGTCTCCTAATTTGGTTACTAGTACTACTACCTTCTCCAACTAGTAGTCTAACCTATTCGATCTGTTTGGAAGCAGGAGGTACTTTTCAAACATAGCAAATAATATTATTAATAATAAACACTATTTAAAGATAAATACATTTTTGTAATTGCCCCTTACCTTTCTCTTACACCACCAGGGTATACCTATTTTCCATATTCCCTTAATTGTAGATTACCTTACAATGTTCGAATGAATATAACATTTTACTCATGAAAAATCTAATTTCATATTTAACTCTTTTTCAATTTCATTTGAAACAATAATAATATTACAATTTATTATCAAAGAAAATTTCTAATAAAGTTATAGCAAATCCTACTTAAACTACTGGTTGTTCTGCAGGATAAATTAACTTTTCTTGAGATTGATCTCTCTATAAAATCCAAAACCGACCTGATGTCCCCAAATTTATTTTCCAATGCATCCTGATTTAAAATTCTGCCCTTTTGTGATTCAATTTTTTTTTTCTTCCTTTAGAGTGGCTGTTAGAGGTAGGTGTATGTAAGAAATAGCTAATCTCTAATCATTTCAAAAGTCCTTTGCCAATACTACATGTGCAGATTTTTTACTCAGCATACATTTTACTTTTCTAGTAGATAGGAACTTTGTGCTGCCATTAAAGCTGTCCAGACATTCATCTACCTACTTAATGAACACAAGTAGCTGTAACAATGGATCCAATTCACCTAAAATAATTATAGTCATTGTGTAATATATTATTAAACACACACATTATACAGTGGTTTTCTTAATAAATTGGAAATTACTTACCTCTAGAAAGAAATGTGTACAAAAACGCAAGTTTGGTTCCAGAAATTGCTTCATGCAAAAAATAATATGCAAAAATAAACATTCCCCCCAAAGAAAATTAATTAAACAACAAAATCAGACCAAAAGAAATATACGGGGCCCAAATTAAATTAATTTTAATAAAATGCACATGTTCATAACAACATTCATAACATTGTCAGTTGTCAGTTTTAATACTTTTAATCGATATTTCGACGTCAAAAAACCAGCAACACCAGCGTCCTCTGAAAATGGTGTTAGTTTTATTGGAGAGAGATAGACATATGTAAAGATCAATGTAAAAGAAAAAGAGGGTCATATATGTAATTTAAGAGGAAAATTTACATTACAAACTAAAAGACCTGCGGGGCAACGGTAGTTTAGTAGGTATAAAAATTACAACTTAAGGGTGGAGCCTCAATACTACAAAATTACTTCCGAGACTAAACAAAATCCGCATTCATTCATAATTTTAACAATTGCATGTAGATACGAGGGATACGTATTTCAAACTCGAACGCGAAGTTGGAACATATAGGAACCGAAAAATCAACACGGCTACCGACCTTCATCATTTCTTGAGTGAGTCAGAGTTACCTAAATTAGGGGAACCAGAATCCTATTTGTTTTTCTCGGTGCATTGCAAAATATTGTTATAACGCAGTTCGATTTTTTAGAGGGTTTTACATTATTTTTATATTTTAATTTAGTGAATAGACTTAGTTAGATTAAATTACATTTAGGAGTAAAGAGGTGTGAAATATAAATACAAATAACGGAAAAATAGACGATTGGTTCGAATAAGGTAATAGGATCAATTAATACAGGGTATGTATTAATTGAGTGCCGATACTTAAGGGTGTGAATCCTTGGGTGTTAAAGTTTTAAGAAAAAAAATAACTATTTTATCATAAGTTTCTTATCACTCTAGATATTTTTATGAAATTTTGCCCCAAAAAAAAGTGTTTCCACTCATGGTGGATTCCTACCAAATTTCAACAAAATATCAAAAACAGTTTCAATAAACTGGTTTTTATTTTCTTACGCGAAAAGGGTGCGTCGTACGAAAGTACGTCTATAAACCAAATTTGCTCCAAAATAAATAAGGATTTTAAAGATAATTTTGGTTTTTGGAAAAAGCAGTGGCGTATTATATTTTTGTTCAAAAATATTCAGTTCAAACCTGGTACGGACGTCACTGGTAAAAATTTAGAAGTCTTTTACGACAAAAAGGCGGGATTGAAAGTGAAAGTTTAGTCTGTTGGTACATAATATACTATATTTATATATCTAATTTTTAATATTACACTGAATGTGACATGGCTTTTTTGTTTGCCTTTTTTGGATTAACAAAATATTATTTTAATGATTTAAAATAAACTGCCAGTAATAATAATTATCTGTACTTAAACATATACAAAGTGAAATCATAAAACGACGCATCACGAAAGCACCAAATTATTAAACTTTTAATTTACGTAACAAGTAATAAAAGTAATTTTAAAAAACCGACTTTAAAATCGTAAAGATGCCATCACCACATCTTAACCAAATTTATATGGGACCACCCCTGAGGTACTCCTTTACTAACGAAAAGAATTATAGAAATCGGACAAGGTGGTAAAGAATTATCGCTGAACATACATAAAAAATAAAAAGTTTGAGGATTTTCTTATGGACCCAATTATTAGATTTTGACCAAATTTATATGAGACCATCCCGGAAGTACCCCCTTTCCAGCAAAAAAGAATCATTTAAATCGGACTGTGTTAAAGAATTATCGCTGAACATACATAAAAAATATACAGACGAATTGAGAACCTCCCCCTTTTTGAATTAGGTTAAAAGGTTAAATAATAATCTATATTAATTTTATTAACTAAAAAACTACTATGTAGAGTTATATATATCTTCTTAAATTAATCTTATATGTAAAAACGTGGGTTCGGTTCCTAGAAGAGTACCTAGTTCACTGTGCAGCCAAATTTATATTTATAATACAGAATTTTTTGAATAAATAAAGTTTACGGTTTAATTAAACACTCAGTTTTATCAGAAATAACATTTTCTGAAAAAAGTAACATATAGAAAGCAGACTTTTAGAAAAATAAATAAAATTTTTATATAATCACATAAATGTGATTTATCTTTTAGAATATTGTATATGTTTGTCAAAGTTTACTAATTTTTTAAAAAAAATAAATATCCTTCAAAATTTTTCTTACATTTTTTAACACGTTACAAAATACCTTAATCCGTTTATAGTTATCGATTTTAAACAAGACGGAGACCGGACATCGTCGAAGAGAAACCGCGAAATTAGTAAAGAATTTTAACTTGATTAAAAAGCGTTCTTTCTCTTTCCATTTCCTATAAAAACTAATAGACATTTTTGAAATCGGTATTCGCTGACTTTTCTTCTATTTTGTTGCCTTGAAAATGATATGATTTACATAAAAAATAAAACCTAACTTGTTGTTATTTTCACAATTTTCGACCACTCTTTGTTTCAAAAAAAAAAAAATACGATGTTCTTCTGTAGATATTAACACATTCTTTAATTGGCTCTTTTTTTTTAATATTCTTTAGTATTTTCATAATTTGGAAAACAGTATAGCATTGAAACTTCTATACCTAAAAAATTGTGAGTACGCTTTTAATTAATTGTCTGTTTTTTTTATCTCACAATGTCTCGATAAGAAGTTATATAGAAAAAAAATCTTATTTTGCTCTGAATTTATGGTCCATGCCATATCGGGTGGCTTTAAAACTAAATAAAAGATTTTAGGAGATTTTTTAAAAATTTCTCAAAATTTTAAAGCAGTGACTCATTTCCGTCTTTTCCACAATACAAAATCAGCTTGTCACAAT